AAAAAAGAAAGGAGAAAAGCAAAGCAAAACAGAGAACAGAAGAAAAGGAAGTGAGACCCTTTGTCCTAACAGGCAGTCCAAGAGAAACTAGCAGATGTCCCACTCCTGTGCTGTTGTAAACACAGCTGATTCTTTGTTTCCAGTTCACACTTTGCCTCTCCCAGGCTCTCAACAATGACTTTGCCTGCTACACTGCTGGCCAGCTTTTTAACTGAGATGGAAATTGTGTCAATCTCCACTCCATCAATTGTGTCTTTCTTCTAAGCATGTCTCCTGGGAAAGAGATGATCGCAACTCTGATCTAAGTTAGAATTGCTGTCCCTGTACTCCAACAAGGAGACTGGAGTAGAGAGAAAAAAAATTAGTTTCTTTACATGCACAGATAATAGCTTGATTTCCTCCATCATGTTTGAATCATGTTTATACCTTTCAGGTACTAAAGTTTCGATAATAATAACTGTGATGAATGTGAAATGGGTGTGGTTTCAGAATGGATTTGTGATTTGGGGGAATATTAGCAAGGGAATGCTTTTCACACTATGTTAACAGAACTGTTTGACTACTTATGACTTGACAATTAGTGGGTCCACTCTGAGGATATTGTTTGTGTGATATTTGAGATTGAGAAAGTGTACAAAGCAAATTGTCTTTCAGTGGGGGCTTTATGATATTCCTAGTGAAACGATTGGGGTAAAATCATGACATCAAGTTTGGTATGTTGAGTAAACAAGGTGTGATAGACCACATGATTGATTTCTGAACAAGCTTCGGAGGAGAAAGAGAGGCTATGATGTCTACACAGTCAGACTCTTGACTAGACATGAGTTTCTCTGGGTGATGACATTCAAAACTATAACAGGGGTCATTGTGAACAGCACCATGTCAACTGGCTTCATTAGTTATAGATAAACCAACGCTATGGGACTGACAGCACCAGTATAAGACTTCATACTCTTACTTTTCAACAGTAAAAACTTGGAAACATTTGTTTCATGGTGAAATTATATTAACTTAGCCGGTTTCTGATAAGAACAATTCTGCATTTATTTTCATAAGACTTAATTTGACAACGGTTACTTATCAAAACATTACTGGCAAGCTACTTAAGTTTTCTTTTAGATTTCCTTCTAACTATCTAGGGGATTTCTTCAATGATGAATGAATTCTATGCAGGTTTACTGTGTCAAGCACATAGAAGTGCATTTGTGGTTTTGAAATTTAAGTCTCTCTTGGTTTATTTATTTATTGAGCAAATCGCATCACTTCATGTAGCTTATTAAAAAGTGGAAATATTTTTAATTCCCCTATGATGTTACTTAAAATGTAGAAAGTGTGAAGTTACTCTCATAATGTGGGTTGTAATAGAAAATGAAAGGGGAATTAAGAAAATATTTTAAAGGATTTAATGATTCTTATTTAAATATAGGGGACACAAATGCAGCATCTGTATTCATTAAAGAGAAAAACTATTCTCAAATATTTCCCAAAATTAAAATGTTGACTGTTTTCCTGGCTCAGTTAAAGTGACTAATACAATAACCTACAAAATGAGAAATAAAGATCAAGGCCATCATTAAGCAATTGTTGTCTAAACCTACTACAGAAGGAAACTGCAGTCAGCAAGAGAAAGTCAAAAACTTTGTGGACTTAATTGAAAACAAGGGCCATGGCTCTCATTTAAATTTTGACTCCTGGCATTCTGCACTCCTGGAGGGAAGACATCTGTCTCTCTAACTACCATTGATTGGAAGAGTCTAACTATCTAGAGGATGAATAGCATTCTCATTTGCAACCTGAGATCTCAAGCAAAGTGTCCTTTCCATTGGAAAAGAGAAAAATTGTGCTTTTAAAATTTATTTTCTTTTCTTGATCTTATTCTTCATCATTGCCCTTAGCCCCCCTTTCTTTATCCAAACCTGATAATATCAATAACATCACAAACATTTCAAAAGATGAGAAAGGAGGGGTATGGTACAAGATTGCCTCCTCTAACATTTAAGACATAAGAATCAATCATAAAATGAATTTTAAGGTAAGTCTTGCTGATAATCAAAAATGGAAACCACATGAACTGGCTTTCTCGGGATGAGAAGACATTTTTCTAGTCTCTTACTCTGTAGGTAATTGTAAAGAAAGTGCAGGAAAGGTCAAACAGGAACGTGGCCTTTCCCATAGAGTGAGCTCCCTCGGGTACACAATGAGCTATTTCTTTTCCTGAGGATATTGAACACTCTCAGGACTTATCAGCAGGAAACAGGTCAGGAGCCCGGTGACAGCAGGAAGCTTGAGAAGGGTAATGGGCAGCTTTTACTTGGGGAATACAAACAGATTACAAACTAGGTACAGGGTCGAGTGGGTGTTCTGGGGCCAGCCTTAATGTTTGGGAGTCAAGGGCAGTTGTTGGAAGACACACAAAACGTACTGTGTGATTTAAGATACACAAAACTCACTGTATGCATAGATCTTTAGACTCTAACAACACATTTATTTATATCAATATTATGATGTCAGTATTTTATTGGCGCATTTAGTGTGCAATACTATGCAGCACTGTTTCCAATTGCAGAGGAATTATCTTTTTCCCCCCTTTTTAAAAGTTCACTCAGGGAGATGGATTAAAAGTACCTGATTCATCATTGGTAGGATTGGGACAGGAAACCGGCCCTCTTATGGCTAATTACCATCAAAAAGGACAGGTATCCTGGATCACTAGCAACCTGCCCTGAGAACCTCCCAAGCTCTGCCTCTGTGTTGGTGCAGCATGGCTGCCTGGAACATTGTAGACTCCTGTGTCAGCTGCACTGTAGATAAATCTCTGGCTTGTAAACACAGAATCATGCATCATGCATATACAAGCTGGATAGCATCAGCCGGAGGATGTTTGCATTCAGTTTCCTTGTACTTTTTTGAGAAGAATCATCAATGCTTCCCATCCTTTCTCTAAACATAGCCTGAAGACAAGCCTTTGAAGAATCTCAGAGACAAACAGTCTTTACTGTTAAAACTCACCATTGTTTCTCTGCTTTCCAGATTAGTATATTTAGCTACCAGCTGCCAGCTGTGGAAACCAAATAGCCTACAACTTCCACGGTCTGTGGGCTGCTTGTCCTCCCAGGATCAGCAGAAAGCTAGAGACATTTCTATGTCGTGTGTGTGTATGTGTGTGTGTGTGTGTGTGTGTGTGTGTGTGTGTGTGTGTGTGTGATGCTTCCATCCTTTAAATATCATGTCAAGGTAAATAAACAGAAACAAGAAAAACAAGACAAAGACATGATCTTCTCATTGCTAGAGGACCATAGCCACCGAGAAATGAACTTCAGGTTAAAGGATGCTTAGTTTTATTTAAATAATTCCTGCTTCCTCAGTAAATTATGTTTTTTTAAATTATTTATCTAAGTTATGCCATTTTAATAAGAAGGAAAGGATGAAAATCTTGTACCTTATCAGAATGAATACTTATCAGAATGAAAGTTAAATATGACCATATTGAATTTAGTGACTATTTATTGAGAGCATGCTATGTGTAAGATTTAGAGATGGCACATGGTAGACATAGAATACGATAATAATTAGTAAATTTTTCCTTCTCATAGATGGCAAGTATTTTCACTTCAACTTTTCTACCTAAAATATCATTTTCTATAGTTTGCATGTAACATTAGGATTGCATTCTTAAGCAGTATTTTGAAGTGAATCATATTATGATTTTATAGTGGGAAAGTTGAGGCACAGAAATGGGCAGTTGAAAGTGCTCGGTTTTAATCTTGGCCTTGCAGACTGTGAACTGTTTGATTGGTGAGTGGTGGGATGGACAGTGCCACTTCTACCAGAGGACATGCTGATGCTGATGTCCTGACTATTTCTTCACCTATGTGAAGTTCTAAGGGTTCCTTTCCTAGTAGAACTCTACAGTCTGAAAAGCTCAGTCCAACACTACAGATAGAAGAAGCCTCCTTTCCTTCTGAGACAGATCAGATGAATTCAATGACTCTACACTGTTGGGGCAGGAGTTAAATCCTGTTAAACATGTTAATTGTTTGGAAGTACTCTTAAGTGCTATTAGAATTGCCATATATTGAGGTTTTATTAAATCTTTATTGTAAACAGGCTGTAAAGGTCTGTGAATGATTCAAGCTATCAGCCAAGCAGCCTCTTTTCTAAGAACTGGCCAGATTGCCCTGAGGGCAGTACAGTTGTTTGGGCAGTTTACTCTGAAGACCACCACCTCATGGCTGGAACAGCCTGAGGAAGGAAAGAAAGCAGCACTCCTTGGCAGACTGCAGATGGCCAGGCCTATCCTGCAGCTATTCACACGCAGGCCAGAGAGGGAGCACTTCCAACCTGTGGACCCAGAGAAAACCTGTGAATGTGGAAAGAAGAAGAGTCTGTGCTGTGATTGGTGCAAACACAGTCCTTGAAGGGCTGCCATGACTTATGCGGACACCCTCACTACACCCTCTTTTGTCTATTAAGTGGGCTGTTTGGTTTAGTTTTAGAGTCAGCCAGGAGACCCCTCACCTTCCTCTGATACTCCTAATGTTGCAACGACTTCCTGAATGGCCCTTTCTCGCCTCCTTTGCTCTTTATCTTTGGAAGACTGAGCTGAGCTGGTAACACAGAAGAAGCTGCAGAAGCACAGGATGGTAGCAAAGGCCCAGGCAGTGTCAAAAGCAGTTACTGCTCTGGTAGTAACAGCAGTCACCATCACCATGGCAGTAGAGAACGACCAGAGAAGAGCTGAAGAATTCCAGAGAGTGGCCAAGGCAGAGAGGATGGGCAGCGGAAGCAGAGAGACACAGAGGAATGATGGACATAGAAACAGTAAGAGAAAAGGCAGAAAAGCAAGGCCAAGTAAAGATACCAGAGAAGAGAAGCAGTGGGCTCGGGGAACAGCCGTCCAAGAACCATAACACTAGTGGGAGATGCCTGCTGCTATTTACTGCTGTCTGCTGCTGGTGTTGAAGGTCATGGCTTTCAAAAGCTGCCGAGAGCTGCGGCCCAGTGGTGATTAAACCCCAGAGAAATAAGCCTCCAGCCTGCACATCCAGATCCTAGAGCAATAGACCCCCAAGCTCCTAGGGTTAGGAACTGCAAGCCTCTATATCTGTGAGGTCAGTCCCTAGGCCTTGGGTGTCAGAGGAGGATTACCAGCACTGGAGGTCCCCATCCTGCTCATTTCTATCTATAGCCAAAGGACCCCAGGCATGTGATTCATAGTAACACTAGTTTGGAAATCTATCTGTCTCCTCTCAGAGTGTGATCTCATGATATAAAATTCCTAGAAGCTGATCTGAAGAAAAATCTATCAGTTGTTAAGTATAATGGTAAATTTATTTATTAAAAAACAAACTAGGGATTACTGTACAAACAAATTCCCACAATGATGGCTAAATTTCTTGGTGGTATGGGTAATCACTTTGGACTACCAAACAAACAGGAAATGATTTTCTCTTCTTTGTTATCAATGAGTCAGGGCTTCTGTAGCTCTAAATCAATTTTCTCCTTGGCATAGTACAGGACAAGGTCAACTGAAATCTGCAAAACATTCAAGAGTATTGCTAAGCGTAAATATAAAAGCAAGTTTGCTTTCATAGCCCACACACCAATCTCCTCCTGCATTTGCTCTTTGATCTCTTCTAAACCTTCATGCAACAGAGGTGGCTCTAAGCAGGATCTTTCAGATGCAGGATCTGAGTGCATTCTTCTCACAGATAAAATATTTCCAGTTGTTGCAGGTGTCTGAGAAGAGGGAATGGTCTTTGAGGTATCCACAGATCTGGCTGGCTGATAACTGTCTCTCTGTTGGCAAACTGAAAAACTAAGTTAGCTTCCCAAGTTAGAGGTTAGATTAAAGACAGTGGTATTTGACAAGGAAACACTACAGAGATGCCATTGGATTTATTTTAATTTGCTTTAATGTGGCCTTTTTCTGTGGTGGTTTTATCCTCCTTCAAATAACACTTTTCAGTTTTAATAAAAACGTCACCTGATTGTGTCCACTAATCTGGAAAGCTCAATATAGAAATTGCTCAATAGTTATTGCAATCTCTTGACCAGAAGGCTCTCAGCATTATTATAAAAAGAATGTTCTTGATACTTGCATTTGATTGCTCATTTAGGCACTTGAATTATAATAAGAATTTTCTAGAGGATAATGGTAGGGGAGCTGATGAGGAAGATTTAGCTGTGTTGGATAGTTTTATGTGAACCTGACACAAAAGCTAAAGTCATCTGAGAGGAGTGAACCTCGGTTAAGAAAATGCCTCCATAAGATTGGGTTGTAGACAAGCCTGTAAGGCATTTTTTAAATTAGCGATTAATATGGGAGGGCCCAGTTCATTGTGGATGGTGTCATTTCTTGGTTGGTGGTCCTAAGTTCTATAAGAAAGCAGGTTGAGCAAGCCATGAAGAGCAAGTCAGTAAGCAGCACCCTTCCATGGCTTCTGCATCAGCTCCTGCCTCCAGGTTCTTGTCCTGATTTCCTTCTATGGTGAACTGTGATATGGAAGTATAAGTCAAATAAACTCTTTGCTCTTTAACTTTGCTTTTTGGTCATGGTGTTTCATCACAGCAATAGAAACAATAAGGCCAAGTCTTAAGTATATTAGTTATTATTCCAATCAGTACTCTTTAAAAGTATCATGATTCTATGTCTTCTAGAAGAAATACAAGGTACAAAGTAAATTTTTAAAATTTCTTTACATTCCCAATTTTCCCTCTAATGTCTCCTTCATACACTTACAAGTCAGGGAGAGGAGAGGAACCATCTTGCCAGAACCAAGATTGACTGAGTTCATCTTGAAACATTCCCACCCAGTACCCAAATTCTTTGGTCATCCGTATGCTGTGGAGGATGAAATTCTGTAAAACATGAGACACAAACTGTTAATGCAGAAAACTAAATAAATCCCAAACTACTATGCAATATAAAGTCTGATATTTTGCCTGATCAGAAATTAATGAGAACTCGAGTGTTGAAGAAATAGAGGAGATATTAAAGTGAAGTGGGTGTACACACACACACACACACACACACACACACACACACACACACACGGTTCATTTGCTGTATAGTCAGTATGGTGTGTTAAATACTACAAAAAATACATTCATCTGGTATTGAAGTTTTAATAGATTCAGAGTCTGGTAGACAGTTTGTATTAATGCAAAGTGAGTCTTATATAGACTTTTCATCATCAAAAGTAAAAATTTCTCTTACTTCATTCACCCTGTGGGTTATTTTCTCCCCTACTGTATTTTAATATGTGAAGTTTTGGAGATTCCAGCCACAACTCACTGTGAGCACATTTTGTTAGATGAAGCATGTTTTATTTTGTTATCAAAGTTTTGGAGGAAGTAATTTTTAAATAATTATAATAATGTAGTTTAAAGCTTCTTGATTTACTACGTTATTTTTAACATTTCCCATTTTTCTTATAAAATTGAACTTCAATTACTGAATATTTTGTTAGGGTGAGAAACATCTAACTAGGAATTCCACTTCAGATATTCTATTTAAGGGTAGATGGCTTCAGCAGACACTGTACTGTTTATTTATCAAGATCCTAGCATGCTAGGTTAGTAAACTTAACATTTCACTTATCAAATGCACATTCTTATAAATCAATTCATTTCATGACATCACTTTTATATTCTTTGTAACTTTTGTTTGGTCCTGATACACAGGCCTCAGACTTAAGTTCCTCCTGTCTCAGCCTCGCATGTACTGCATTTACATGCATGTGTCATATCACTGCTTTGGAAAAATAAGGAATCCTATTTTATGAGAATCTGTAATTCATTTTAATGAGTAACAAGGTATTTTCAGAATGACATGAAATCATAGAAGAGTCTTTACCATTTCTTCTTTGCTGTCTATTTGAAGGAGTCTGGCATCCTCGTTTAAACAAATCTCCTTACTGCCATTCCATTTTTTCTGGATTTGAAAGACATAGTAACAACTTTTTCCATTCTGAGTCCAGTTGTGTGGACAATGGCTGCAGTTACAATCTTCAAAACATAAACATTTCCTTAGTTGTCATCAATGCACAAAATTGGCATCCCAACTTCCTCAAAATAACCAAATGGTCCCCATGATGTAATACCTACCCATCCAGCTGCTTTGAGGCTGAGACAAGATTTATATAATTTCTACCTGAAATAGTTCTCTGATAATTAGTTTCAGTTAAAGATCAACGTGGAGATGGCTTTATCTAAATCTTTCCTCCTATATCAAAAAAGGATCTATTTTTCCCCGACTGAGCCATTGACAAGGATGAAAAGTAAGCCTTGAGCTGATGTTTTAATTCTGAGACTTAAGCAAGAAAATATTTCACGTTTAAGGGAGAGATCAATTAATGCATGAAAAGAGTGGCTTGAAACAAGTAGGTGTGTACTAGACATAAAAGAAACAATGTCTTAGGACTTCATTACAACTAAGCATTAGGCTTTAATATTTAATGAACTTTTTAAGGAACATGACTTAAGAAAGAATACACTTAAGGACAGTCAATGACCTGCACACAGAGGAACTAAATAGCACAGATTTGATGATAAGTTCTAGCTTAGTCTTATGGAGGGAGACAGACACACATAGAACATTGGTTACTAGAGAGGAGCACTCCATATGGGGTGAGAAACACTTCACAAGCAGTTTCCAAGACTGAATACTGAGTCCATTCAGGCTTTTCAGTAGCCTGTGTTTGGAAACAGTGCTAATCAGCATGCTGAGCACTCTGACAGTCATGGCAGAGTTAGTGCTGAAATGGTGTTTGGAAGGTTGAAGAACAAGATGGATTAGTAGAATATACTTAAAAAATAAATTTTATTTTTCGGAAGAAAAAATGGTAGACTTTTCTTTTCACATAACTCAAAATTCAAATAGCATCCTCTAGAGGGAACTTAACTTCCTCAGTAAGTATTAAGTCACCAACAGAAGGGTTGACAAACTGTAAAGCAAGTAGTAATACAATTTTAGGCTTGAAAATAGTCATAAGAGATAAACTGAATTAACTCTTAATTTTTTAAAAGAAAGTGAGTCTTACATGTTATAATAATTTTATGATAAATAGTCTGATTTCCACGGTCAATTTTTTTTTTTTCAGGAGCCTTGCAAGGGAACAGCAAACAGCCTTAGAACTCACAGGATACTACTGGATGGCCAGCAAAACCACACCTGGGGGCAGGATTTGGAGAGATAGAGCCCCAAGGATTACGTGCTCTGACGACCTGAGCTGTTACCAAGCATAGCAGTGCTATTGCTCGCATGGTCACCACGCCCCTCGTAATCTATGAGTTGTATGAAGACTCTAAGGCTTCTAGCCCCTCGCTGCTGGGCAGTGTTACTAGTACTTACAATAACAGTGATTGACCTTTCTCTAGGCATTGCTACTGGAGCAGATTAATGATCCAACTACCACACTTAGAAGTATTTAGACATTAGTAAAGTTAGGTCAAGATGTTTGTGTTAGTGGCTTTGAGGTAGAACATCTTGGGGAACAATTTGAAGTTTAGAAAGGCACATTTTTAATAGTTGAGCAAAGGACTCATTGACGTCAAAGAATGAAAACAATGGCAGCCTGGCTCTTGCTGGCTGATTTAACTTTCTTGCTAGGATAGGATGGTGATTAAATATGATGATTAATTCCTTGTACCCATTTCTAACCTCAGCTTCCAGATACGATTTAATTAAAAAGTGTGAATGAGTGGATATGCATCCTGAGGATTCAGAGTGAAAATGACTGATTGTTTTCATATATAAAAGTTTAAATGTGAGATTATTTAAAGATTTTTATAGGATTACTTTTTGAGGTAATAACCTTTTGAGGTAAATAATAAAATGTTTGATCCTTTCTTTGTAACTGCAAAATGCATCCTGCCAGGAAAAGAACTGGCAGAGAAAAATAACTTGCTTGCTTACACTTTGTTAATCTATAACAAGTTGCTTAGACATGAATGTATGTGGGTCCTTGGGAATAATTTGTTTTTTACCTGTAATATGTAAAATACTTAATGATGTAAGGGAAATGGGAAACATGCTGTTTTTTACTTGTATTCATTGTAATCATTCATTTGAAAAATAGAATGTAACCACATTGCAATTTTTATATTGCTTAAAAGATTTTGCTTGGGTATATAAGCTGTAAGGGAAAAAACAAAGTTAGATAGAGGGAAGATATCAGGAGAAAGACAAGAAGGATACATCAGAAAGAGGTAAGGGAAGAAATAAAGAAGATAGAGAGACCCTGAAGATGTGTGTGTGTGTGTGTGTGTGTGTGTGTGTGTGTGTGTGTGTGTGTTCCTTTTTCGCCAGCCTCAGAGAATTAAGTTTTACTCCCTTAGATAAAAAAAGTCCAATGAGTGATTAGTTTGCCTCCCCCTCAGTCCCTGAGCTGCTGGAAGCTAGTCTATACAACAGCAAATTTTTGTGCTTAGTTATCTATAATTGAGTCTAAAACAAGAGCCAAATTAGATGAATTGGGAAGTCTGGAGCTAGAGTTGAAAATAGGGCTAGATTTGAGTGACTGAGGGAAATATATTGTTGATTTTAAAAGCCTTGCTTAGGAGTCACACACATTCCACTTGATCTTGCTATGAGCTTGGTTTAGCTGAATTTCTTAGGAATTTCAGTCTTTTCAACATTTCATTGGAAGATGTAGAAGAAGCTGAACTAACTGTAGAGCAACAAGAATTACATCATAATTGTCAGCCGTGAAGAGACAGGGCGAGCTCAGTGTTGTGACCCTCAGCAACATAAAGTATTCAGATAATCTTTTAGGGACAGAAACTGTGGACAAACTGGGAGGGGTTTTTGCTGTTGTTGTTGTTGTTTTGACACAGAAAAGGATTTCAAGGCAGTTTGAAACAGAGCAGGAGATTATGAAAGATATTTTAACGTAGACTTTAATAAGCGTGAGGGTTAGGTGAAAGAGAAGCACCAGGAAAAAAGTAACAGCCATCTGCAAGTGTGGGTGTGGACTTCCCTAAGGCTGAGCTGCCAAAACTAAGACATATGGGTATGGGCTCCTCAGAGAGCCACAAGCAGTTGTCTCACTGGGCCTGCATGCCGTTCTGCTGGCTCTTGAATTACAGCCCCAAACGTTTCTAAGAAAGCTTTTCATTTTGATAAGTGAAACTATCAAGTAGCTCTGGAGATGCTTTAGGTAGAATTACAATCTGATAAGGTAAAACCAGGAGCCACTAGGAATGCACACGAGGTCAGTACCTGTCCTTTCCCTGTAAGTAAGATTTCTATCTGGTTCAGAGAAAATTACAGGTTTAGAGCTGAAGCAAGAAAAGCGGTAGTTAATGGCCCTGGAATCTCGCTTCCCTGTGGTTGAGAAGTTATAAACAGATTCCTGGGGAAGGACCTCTTCTCTATTTTCATGTCCTCATTATTTTCCATCTTTCAGACCTGCCTCAGCACTCACTCCAGACCTTAGTAATCCATAAAGAACAGACTACACAAAATTGTTTCTTTTGAGCAGAAGCTGCACACTGCGAATCTCCACTGAGATCACTTTTTCTTAGCTGGGCATGATGTCTCATGACTGTAACCCCAGCACTTAGGAGGCTGAGGCAAAAGAGTCACCACAAGCTGGAAGCCAGCCGTCCTGAGTTCTGGACAGCCTAGGCTATATGACAGACAATGCAAAACCACATTGATCTTCTATCCGTTACCTGAGCGGGGAGATCTTTGCTGCAAGGCTTGGCAGTTTTTCATCTCCAGGATGTAGTTTCTCTGCCACTCTGTGAGGTTCAACAATGCTATGTCCTGCTGGATGAGTCTTTCCTGCTGACTCATTGCGAGAGAGGACACCTGGAAGACTGTTACAACGTCATACATTCCTCCTCAAACACTGACGCTTTTCAATAAAATAATCCCCCAGCACAGATCAAAGAAAACTATCAGTGAGGGTGAGGGCATAATTCTCCTGGCTTTAGGTTTTTGTTTAAAACTTAAATTACTCAAGAATCAAGTCTTACAAAAGACACACAGAAAACAAAACAACAGCAGCAGCAAAACACCTTGGCCATTTCTTTCCTTTGTTCACCCAGTCTCACTTCCCAAGAGCAGATAAAATTATTAAGTCCTTTAACACATCCCCCCCCCCGAGATACTTTAATTAAAATAAAATCAATCAATATAAAATTCCTGTTCAACCTTTTATGCAAAAGGTCTACATGCTCGTTGAACATTTGATCTTATTACTTAAGTATATTTTAATATTCATTCCTTTAAGTACACAAAATGTCCTCTCACTCATTGTAACAGAAAAGGAATCCACTGTATGGATGTGTGATGAATTCCCTCAGCAGTTTTTTGTTTTTTTTAAAAAAAAATTAATTAAATGATTGATTTGTTTGTTGGGCAGGGCTGGGCACTGAACCTCGGTCTCATGCATGCTGGGCAAAACCACTATGGCTTTATTCTCAAATGGCTCATTCCCTTGAATGGCAAGGAGAAGAATGCTGTTTAAAGAATCTTAGTCTTGGGGCTGGGAGATAGCTCAGTTAATATAAAGTGCTTGTTGAGCCAGCCTGAGGACCTGCATTCCCAGAACCCATATAAAAAGCTAGGTGTAGTGGTGCACGCTTGTAATCCCAACACTAGGGAGATGAAGACAGTTGGATTTCTGGGACTCCCCCCTGGCTGGCTAGCATACTCTACTTGTAAGCTGCAGGCCAAAAAGACTGTGTGGCAATAAAAATGGTGGAGGGCTCCTGAAGAATGATACTCAAGGTTGTTCTCTGTCCTACACACACACACACACACACACACACACACACACACACGCACACGCACACGCACACGCACACGCACATACACGCACACGCACACGCACACTCACACGTAAGCACACATACAAATCCACACACATAAAAAAAATCTTAGTCTTACCTCATTTTACACATTTGTAAGCTATTTTTAAAATGAGTGACTAGATCAAAAGTTTATGGACATTTAAATTTCATTCAGTATTTCTAAGTTACCCTCAATAGATACTGTTGTACACAGTATTTCAAGGCTATTTGCATTTACAGCTCTCCTTCTGTTTAGGACTTACATTCTCTTCACAGGTGTAAATAAGTTGGAAGTATTTCCTTGTCTGTGAAATGTGTTACTATAACCTTTGTAAATACCACATCCTCCATGGGCTTTCTTGTGCTGCGAGAACTACCTAGCAAGTCTGGAATCAGGCTGAGCAGTGCATCTCAAGTTCACATGGTGATGACCTTCAGAAAAGACATGATGCAAGCTACTTAATGGTGTAGCTTGTAACTGTGGGACTGAAAATTTGGGGACCAGAATGTGACTAACTTGTTGGCATTGTTTATTGATGGCAGCAGGCTGGATGATTTGCCCTTGGTTTTAATGAGACCCTGAGAGATGCCTTCTGCTGAGGCAAGTTGCCTAGTCTCAGCAAAATTCTGTTTTTTATCATCAGTAAAACATAAAAATCCCCAAGCAAGACTCTGGGGCTCCTTGACAGCACAGTGTCCTGGGCAAACACCAGTGATTCCTGAGCCAACAGAAAACAGAAATAGTGGAAGGAGAGCGAGGGAAAGGTACCTGCTCTCTGCCCCCAGATACCCACCTCTCCTTTCCCCCCGATTTTTCTTGAGGCAGCATTTCATGTATCCCATGCTGGCCTCAAATTCACCATGTGACCAAGGATGACCTTACACGTTTGTTCCTCCTGTATCTCCTCCCATTTTCTGGGAATACAGGCCTGGGTCACTACTACTCGTGACTCCATCCAGGATCCTCCTAATAAGAGATTTTTAAAGGTGATATCTTTACTTCTGTGCTATTAAGTTGTACTCTTACCATGTAACAAACTAAATTTCTTTTTAAATTCTCAATAAACTACAATGTTAGGGCCTGTTGTTTTGGTCTTGTGAGTCTCTGTTAGCAACTAGTCCTGTGCGTAGAGATATTTGTTGGTTTGTCACATGCTTCAAAGATTGATTTTGGTAAGCTATAAGCTATAAGTGATTTATTTACACAGTTGAAAAATATTTTACTCTTTTTGGACACAATGCCATTTTTTATTTTAGTTTGCATATTCTAGATAAAAGGCTAGAAAAGATGTGTTGTAGTGTAGAATTTAAGTTGGAATTAACAATGGGATCTAGCAAGTACCATTAATTTAAAATGTATAAATAATAATAATTATTATTATTATGCTAAAATCCCTGGTAATTTTAGTTTTGAATGTGGAGCTATAATTTTATGTCTATATTGATATATTTACACTTTGACATCTTTGGGATTAATGTGATTGTAACTATGAGGTAGGATGTCAACATTTCCCAGATGACCATCATGTTTTCCTCTGTCACTCAATGAGCATAACTCCCACCCATATTCTCCTAGCTGCCACTTTTAACTCACAGTAAATGTCTAAGGAACTGACGAAGGGGATGGCATGGCAGAACAGAATGGATCACATCATAGCAGCCAGGAAGCAAGGAGAGACCACTGGCGCTGGAGGGCTCTCTCCTCCCCTACCCAGGCTTTCAGACTAGAGGTTGCTTCTTCTAACATAGAGGGCTCCCAGTTACTTAATCCTCTTTGGAAATACTTTACTGTTTTCATTCTAACCAAGTGGACAAGATTAACCAATCTTTTTTGTGTACTTGTCTCTTACTCAGGTTTCTGTGTTTTGCTATCATCTTTTTCACACTTTAAAAAAACATTGTGTGTATTTCTTTTGCTTTGTCTTCTAGTTCACTGGATTTTTGTCAGTGGTGGTTTTCAGTTTTAGGTACAAAATCCAGGACCTTGTACTCACCAGGCAAGATTTCTACCACTGAACTGAACCCCCAACCCTTCACTTATTTTTCACTTAGGTGGATATATTTAACAATTGAGTGTGGGGAGGGCAGGTCACTGCTATTGCAGTTTGTTAAAACATGCAAAAAGAATAGTTGCCTCATATCTCTATGATTGAACGATAGAATCTGATTCATTTTCATGCATACATTCATGTAATGAGCCATCTCTACCATTGTGATAATGAATATATCCTCCACAGAAACTTCCTGTCTTAAATTTTAACTAGAATTTTATTTTGAGGCAGTTGAAGTTTCATATGTAGCTTTATAGAAATAATAGATTCCATCAACCCTTAGTCCAGTTTCCACCCCATGGTACCATCTTGAGAACTGAAGTTCAGAATCACAACTAGAATACCAACACTGATAAGATAACACCATGGTGTGCCATTTCTCCATCACCATGTGGGTCCAGTACATTGCCCTTTTATGAAGCCAATTCACTCCTCTTCTGCCCTTCCTGCTCCTTAACACTAACATGTTCTAATTCAGTGATTTTTGTCATTACATTGTTATAGAAACAGAATCTTACATTTTGTAAAGTTTTTTTTTTCCACTCAGGATGCCATCCTGGATATTCATCTGGATAGTTGGATAAATCAATAGCCAACTGGTTTTTATTGTTGAAAGGATTTCTTTCATATTAGTCACCACATTTGTTTAACCATTCACTCACCAAAGGACATCAAGGTTGTTTTCTTGTTTAGCTCCTACAAATCGAGGTGCTATACATAGGTGTTTTTAAGCTTTAGTGAATGAAAGCTCCAGAGAAGTGTTCAGGGGTGCAATTGTTGGGTTGTAAAATGGTCAGGCTTTGATGAAACCATTTCCCTGTTCTTCCATGGGCTGAATCACTGTACAGTCCTGCCTGATACACCTAGTGATTCAGCTTCTCAGACCCATCAGACATACGATGTCACTGGTTTGTGATTTCTCTTTCTGGTGTGTGTGTGTGATGTGTCACACTGTGGTTTTAATCTGTTTTCCCTAATGACTGATGATATTGAACCCTGTTTTCATGCTCACTTGATACTTCCTTAAATTCTTTGGAGAAATGTGTTGTCATGTTATTCTTTCATCTTATCACTGAAAGGCTTTGTTTCTTGCTGAGTTCTGAGAGCTTTCCCAAATCTTTATATCACTGGGTATGTGATTTGCAGTTACTTTCTCCTTCTGCCTTGTGTGTTCAGCCAGTTTTATGATGAAGTAGATGCATCTCATCAGCTTTTCCTTTTACTAATAACTCATTAGATGTTAGATCTAAGAACTCTGCACATACTTGAAGAATGAATTTCTTCCTTTTTTAAAAAAACTACTTGATTTGGGCACTACCTAAAATTAGTAGAAAATTAATGCTCCTTATTTTGTTATATTAATAACCTGGTACATATAGGGATTGAAATATAATCTTCTTTTTAGAAAGTTGAGATAGAGTTTTAATATTCTAATGAGCTTTATTGTGTGAGCTGTATTTCAAGTCAGTTCTGCTTTACTTATGATGCTCTGGATGGCATGGACTTCATCAGAGAACAGTAAGACAGGAGAAAGGGAAATAAGACTTCCCCTTGGAGTTTCTTCCTATGTAGGAAGCAAATGTTTGACCTTAATTGGCGTTTGAATTGTAGTTAATTTGCAACAAGTTCACAAATAATGACCGAACAATGTCATTTCCTAGGGAAATGAACCAAAATACTTCTAAATCTCCCAAACAAAGTTATTGGGTATAAGATGCCACATGTTGTACCTAAAAGATTAGTTTGAAAAATGAAAATGGACAGAAAAGGCACAAGAAACACTTATCTCTCTGGAAATATTTTGCACTATAAAGTTTTCAAAATAATATTTAATTAGCATATGACATTAAAGGAAACCCAGAGACATAAAAAGATGAGAATATTACAAGTCTATACTCCTTGCAAATGACCACTCAAGTATTGCTGGTTAACATTCAGGTTATATTTGTTGAAATCCTTGTGTACACATGTGCAGAATGCATGTGCAGATATGAATCTAATTTGCATATTATTTTTAGAAAACTGCATATCTCTATAAAATACCGGCTTTCATGGGAAACATCACACAACTAACTACATCTCTACATACTTACTAGTGGTTCTAGACAATTTTAATATTAATTGCATTCTTTTACCAGATTCTTCTGTTTCACTGTGTGAACTTCCTCTTAATATAAGTCAAAGTGCCTTTATAGCATGTATGTGCACTTAAACAGTTCTTTTTTTTTTGTGGAAAGAACATAATTTTTTTTTCATGAAAAAAATGCTTTGGAAAATCATTTACTTTCCAAATTGTGCCATTGATTAAATTACTTAAAAAATACAAAATGAATTGTACAAAGACCCTTAAAAAGGGACAGCATGCTGCCAGGAATGCAACCATTCTCTTGAAATCTGTTTATTAGTTAAGAAAACAGTTCTTAACTAATTTCTTCATCCACTTATGCATGTGGACTTTTTACATAATAACATAGCTATTCATAATTCATAATGTATTTGTGAAAAGAGGTAACTTTGAAGATTTGCTTTTGTACTTACACTTGATGCCCAAGAAAATGGATGTCGCTAATAAGCCCACACAGAACACACAGGAAATCACCGTCATGACACACCATGTTCCTAAACGCAGAATCAGAACAATGACATGAGTTAGAGAAAACAGTTGGAAGGGATGGGTAGAGATGATGTCAGAATGAGTGGAAGAAGGATTGGTCTTTTCTGCTGTAGAAATACGAAAGTTTGAAACTCCAATAGGAAAAGGAGAATCTTTGCTTAAATGCTCTCAAATGAACCTTATAGCTTGGGATGCATTTGAACTGGAAAACACCAAATTCGATAGACTTAATACCATAACTCTGTGATCCTAATGTACGATATTATGACTTTAATAAGCAATTACATCTATCTATCTATTTACCTAGGTTTTTTTCAATAATCTCAATAATGCCAACTAGGCAACCTTGAATTCTTAACATCAAGACTCTCTTACCTGTTTTCAGTATCTCTTGAGTGTGATTCACTAAACTATTTTTAATTTTAATGAGCAATTTAGAAAATGAACAAATATTTCCAGCTAGTTACTCAACTCTTCCAGGAGGAAAAGTGAGTGATGTAGCTTCTTAAATTATTCACACTAATCAAAGAAAAATAAAATGTATTCTTACATATTGTGATAGGCCAGATGATGATGTGCCTGTGATGACTCTGGGTCATCCCTGGAACCTTGAAATTGTGCTTTATGTGACAAAAGAGATTTTGAAGCTAGTACTACATTGGAGATCTGAGATGGGAAAGTGATCCTCAGTTAGTGAATTTGTAACAAGTCAATACCAAAGACCAAACAATATAATTACTTGGGAAAATATAATAAAACACTTTTAAAGCCCACCCAGTTATTCATTGTATGATATTTCATGTGACATCTGGTTGATGGATTAAATAAATGACAGAGAAAATAAATAAAAACTTATCAATTTGAAAATATGTTGTGCTGTGGAGTTTTAAAAGTAAAAAGTACCATAAGATGTAGAAATGGGCATTAAATAATGAAAACATAGTCACACCAGCATAAAGACATTTTTCTAGCTTTTCAATTTTTTCTTACATTTCTTAGTATTTGTCAAGTAATTTCCTGAGCATTTAATGCAAAAACTAAAACAATTAAAATTTTATGATTTCTTTTACCTTTTTTCAAATTTAAGAGAGATTATATATCATATTTCCAGATCCCAGTGCCCTTTTTCTTTTTCATTTTTACTAGTTCATCCATCCAGTGAACGTATCAGGCATAATGGAGTACTCTAAAGAGGTTATCTCAGATTAGAATAAAGACCTGGATTCATCACAGAACACAAACAGAAAAACTTCCAGTTTTCTAGTAAGCATTTTGAATTTGTTACCTGAACATTTGCTAGAACACAAACATTTCTGAGAGGCCTCTGAGGTTGGAATGTCCCACTGAAGAGAGCTGTATAATTCTTCCTCGTGCATGCTGAACGTCCTTGAAGAGGTAAAGCAGCCTACATAGAAGTCTGACAGAAATAATTCCTCTTGCGATTAGGAGTAGGTTGATACAAAAAAAAAAATGGAACTGACTACTTTTTCACAGCTGTAAAATGCACTGGGGATTAAAGTGCAAGGTAGAGGCATCATCATCCAGAAAGTGGAACTTTTAAAGCTTAACTTTAAACATAGCTCAATAAAGGAAGAAATGAGGATGTACTGAACTCAAAATGGCTATGGTCAAATTACAGTGTTGCTCTGATCCCCACATGGTAGCAGATGCTGAAGATGAGGTACACAGAGTAAACTTCTATCTGGTGTAGGATGTGAAGCACAAAGATGACTCGGAGAACAAAGACAAAGGCAGTCCACTCTAGGCAAACCAACTTGGGACATAGCTTTTGGGTTTCCAAACAAGGAAGCTTGGAAGGGATTTCATCCCTAAAGTCTTTTCCCATCAGTCCATTGATTAGGATGATACTGCCTGCTAAGATAACTTCGAGTAAACTTCAAAATAGCAGTCAGCGCTGTAAACATTTAGATCTCCCTCATAGTTTGTCCCCAGGGACTGTGGTTGACGGAGAGTTTTCTCCTAAAAGAGGCCTGCATTATTTTCATCTTCTGGAATATTGGAGCCAAGGGAAAGGGAAAGAGAAGGTGACAAACCCACACTTGCTTCTTGAAAGGCATAATTGAGAAGAGATATGAATCATAGTCACACCTACTCATTCTATATTGGTCATGAAGATTGGGTTTGCCTGGGCATCAGCATCCAGAGGTAATTTTACTCTTGGAGGAGGAATCAATTATTAAGTGGACAGATGGCCATTTTCATCACATCCTGTGTTCTACAGCATTAGTACTGAGAAATTTGATCTCTTAGACATCAGTGATCTCTAGGCCACTTGTCCTTATGTCCAAAGGTCACCTCTCAGTAATTTATAGTCCATACAACTTGCAAAATTGCATGTTCTTTCTTTTTTGTTTTAGAATCTCAGTGGATCAATCGTTCTCCATCACAAATGGCACACTCAAGAGGTAATGAAAAGGAACTCACTAATAGGGCTACAGTTTGGGGGAAAGGTTATTAAGAAAGCCAAAGGGGGAGGGAGTGATAAAACATGTACTGCAGAGCTCATATCAACCCATGGCCTAAAGCACAAAGGACGGTACATACTGGGACTTTGTGGTCTGCCTCACCAGAGCCAAGGGCTGGGATGCAGAACATCAGGAGTGAATTGGAATTACACTCTGACTATGCCTCCATATCGCTCAGAGGCTGAGTTTGACCAGAAAATATATTCATTTGAGTTTAGCTTCCTGAGACACAAGGGATAACTAGTGGCATCATTAAAGGCAAATGAAAAACGTCCAGCACATTCTGCCAACATTTCCTGTGGTGTTTCTGGTCTGAAAACAGAATGACTGAACTCGAGATAAACCTTTGCATATGCTAAATTCTACCAGGAGGAGAAAAGAGGAAGAAACCACCATAACAAATAATATCACAACTAACCACAGGAGCCAGAGCTCCATCAGCTACTGCTCATTTCTAGTTTCTCTTCTCACTTTGTCAGCACTGAAACCCAAGCTTGGACAGATCCAGTGTTTCCCAGCACAATCCACCCCTGGTAAATTTCTACGAGTCATTGGGTTCTCCCAACAAAAGATCCATGTGCTATATGTAGCACTGCCACACTTGTTTTTGTTTTAGATAATATTTATTGTTTACCAGTCATCACATCCTAACAAATATTTTAAAGCCTGATCACATGAATTACTTCCTCACTATAGCTCAGAGAAACAGGAAGGTAAGTTGGCTATAATTTAGGGCACAGAGAAGTCAGTCCATTTAGCGAGTTTCATGCTAAGTGTTTGAAATGGAATGATGGAATTCTCTGGTTGTAGAATCTGAGCTGTTCTCATTTCATGATATACTTTAGGCATGACTACTAGGGAAGAAGAGGGTTTTTAGGTACAGTGAGATTGGCTCCACATTCTATGTATGTTTAGCAAGGCATTAAATATGTTCCCTATAAACCCGTCTGTGATGTAGTAATATAGAAATATGTCCTTTCCCAAGCTGAAGAGATGAAAAACACAGAAATCTAGGCATAAGGTTGGTGTTTGGATAGTTTCTGAATTATTAGTTCCCACTTGGTTTCTGCAAATAGACAGTTACATACAATAAGTTCAGGCCTGAATCCCCAGCTCTAGAGAAAAAGAGAAAAAGCAAAGACTTTCCATCTTGCAAGTCCAAGAGTTTGGCATTTGTAATCAAGAAGCTGAAGAAACTCTTTTGCTTTTCTTTAGCTCAGAACTCTATTCCCTTATGGACAGTCTAAACTAAACCAAGGTGCAGATTTGCACGTCAGCACACAGAGATGTGATACTAACACATATTTTTTGAGTATCACATGCTTAATGTTCTGATCAATATTTTATATAATTACATCAAAGATCATCACAATTCTCTTCTGGATAAGGTAAGCAGCTCACTACATAGTCCAGAAAACAGTGTTGAAGACATTTACCCCAAACCACATAGGGAGTAAGTGCTAAAGTAATGTTTATTGACAAGTACTAGGAGCTGACTGCTTACAACAGGGACACAGAGAATGTGTGTTAAAAACAGATTTCCTTGTCTCCTCGGCCTTCTGAGTTCCATCTGTCTCCGTGCTTGAAAATACTCAGTTTCCACAAAGACCTCAGCTGAGATGAACTGTACTCATGATCCTATTTACTTACTAGCTAAACAAAGGAAGCTGTGGGGGTAGATAGTATGACTTTTGCCTCTTATCCTGTTAGAGGTGCTTCCTCACAGGCCCTATAAATACTTCTGAGTTATTCAGCAAACACCAAACATAGAACCATCAGGAAAAGAACCAGATAAAACCCTTCTGCTTCTTCTTCTGCCTTCTGGACACTGCTGTCAATAAGTATTTATTGGTTCTACAAACCCTGTCAGCTCTCTCTCAAATCCAGTTTCCTTATGTTGTACAGAGGATGGCCACTGTTCAGAGTAAAGAAAGGTGAACGAGGGGACTGAACTGTTGTCTCCCAGGAGGAAGAGTCCCCAGGTTCTTTTTCCCCTGAGTCAGGGACGTACTTGGTGCTGATCACAGACAATGAACAATGAAGTCATGGGGACTATTTCCATGGATTATTTTGGTATCAGTACTCTGAAATTTTCTTGTAATCATAAGCATATAAATAATACAGATAATTTAAATTGTGTGGTCATTGTAGAGATAAGATAAAACTCTGAAGTTTATTTTTGATGAGGTATATAACATAAAAATATCATCCCAATTTCTTTATTTTAATATTTATACACACACACACACACACACACACACACACACACACACACACACACACAAAACCTTTGGTTTATCCTCCAGTCCCCAAACCATCCTATTTTAAGTATGAGAAAATGGAAGTTAAACAAAATATAAAATTGTCTCAATAGCCAGGCACATGCTTTTATTCCCAGCATTTGGAAGGCAGAGGAAGACACCTGGTCTACATAGTGGGTTCTAGGACAGATAAGGCTCCATAATCAGACCCTGTCTCAAAAAATAAATAGATATCTAGAATTGCTTCATGATAGCTCTTCTGTGAAGGGTTTGTACCATTTAAACTATCAAAAAGACTCAATCTGCATTATTTCTACTATCCCATGATGTCTTTCTTAACTTAGATATTTTATACAGTGTTGAGCCTTTGTGCCATAATATAATTTTAATTTTCTGTTTGCATATTTGAAGATGCAGTGGATTCCATACAGTATACTAAGAATATTAGGAATGGAAGATAAAAATAAAGTTAACAGAAAGTGAAAAACTGAAAAGCTAGTGGTGTGCTCACATACTGGGTTTTGGTATGCAGAGAAAGGATCAGATATGTGATACAAGGAAGTCATAAAAACAAAATAAATCATTTCATGACTGGGGAATTCTTTCGTACAGATCTTTTATTGCAGGACCAAGCACTTATCTGACATCCTGTTCATCCTTCTGCATTAAAGCAGTTGGTCCACTCTTGTCATGCCAGCCTTCCGCTCACACATTAAAAAATGTCTGTCCGTACAGGAAGCAGGATGGATTTTCCCATTATAGAGATAAGCACAATTCATGTTTTCTCTTGTATTCCCAGAAAGATCAATCCTGCAAATGATAAGGGCAGAGTACGTGTTTTTTAAAAGTATAAATACATAAGGAAGCAAGGGACATGCATGTTTTGTTGATCAAACTAGGCTGGGGTAGGTAAAGAAACATTCTCATCTTTGAAAAACTCTTTGTTCACTTGTGAGTATATAATCTGTACACACAAGAAGCCCAATACCAATTTAATAGAGTGTAAGTTGGGAGAAAGTCAATGCTAAATACAGAGGGCGTCCAGAGGAGAAGGCTCATCATGCTCTGACATGCCAAGCAAAGCTTTATTGATAATTCACTTTGGATCAGTATTTAGAGAAGAGTGGGTTTTACACAAGGAGAGAGGAAATGGGAAGTTCTTATAGAGCCAGAAGCTAGCTGCACAACAAGAAGTGAGATGGCTAAATACTGCAGAGCTGAGAACTAACAGCACCAAGTAATAGATAAACACTAGAACATTTTGTGGTTATCGTCCCAAAGTTTGTCTCTGTTCCCTGAATCTCTGTTTACAATGAGAGACAAGGAAAATGTGCTGAATCTACTTAGCAGACACCTATGGACACCAACACGTTATCAAATGGTTTAGTGATGGAGGAGGAGGAAAGACAAGCTCTCTTCTTCTTTAAAACCCAAATCCCAGTAAGGAAGAAATTGGTAAGATGCCCACAGATAAGCAGACAGGAAAATGTCAGAAATTAGTGAGAGCTGTGAAGATATAAAATAGTAAAGAGACAACAGAGCAGGTGTGTGCAGAAAGGAGCAGGATTAAGTGTGAACCCTTCGAGTTGATCTCACTGAGGAAGCAGCCTTCAAATAGACTGGACCAACAAAGGAGTTGGTTGAAGAATCTAGGAGGGAAAGAGGAATTTGACTACAGAGAACACCATTTTTCTGCAATATTGTGAGCAACGAGAGATAAAGGCCAAGGGTTTCAGGAGGTTTGTGTGTATTTGTGTGTCCTGGGATTCTATCCAAAGTAAATAATAAACACATGTTGACTTAATTAGCTATTTAAATAATGGTAGAATTGTATAAGCTTTGGTAATAAGTTCTCAGAGAGAGTGCAGTGTTGTGCAGAATAAACAAAAGATGTTGAAATTAGTGGTTTGAGGGCCCTACTGAGTCAGCAACATGGCCCAGTGGGGAAAGGTGCTTGCTTCCAAGTCTGTTGACCTATATTTGATTTCCAGGATCTACATGGTGGTACATTCACATACACTGTAGCATATGAATTCTCTCTCTCTCTCTCTCTCTCTCTCTCTCTCTCTCTCTCTCTCTCTCTCTCTCTCTCTCTCT